CCCCCCCCCCCCCCCCCCCCCCCCCCCCCCCCCCCCCCCGGACCCGAAGACCCCCTTGTGTGCGCCAATGGACATAATTCAAACCCCTTCCCCCAAACATTGTTAAAGTTATTTTATTGCATTCCATAGCCATCGGAATAGTTTTACCGATAGCTGTGCGCAAATAAAAGAATCGCATTTCGGTAGGACGTATATATACGTCCGAGGCACTCAATGCACCGGTTTGGTTAGATGCAATTAAGGGGTTAAGGCATACATTTTCTTAAAAGATAACTATTTTAAATTGAGAAAAATATGCAATCTTTATTTATTTATTTTGCCATCCGTTTTTAAACATTTACTAAATACATGTCAAGGAAAAAAATTCATTAATTGATTTTCAAATATTACTAAATTATATAAATGTGATTTGTACTTTCAAGCGAAAGAACAGATTGAATGATGTTATTAAATAACCTAATCATTTTAAACTCGATTAAGTATCATAGAAGTCGAATATTTGGCTTCATAAAAACTCTTAGAAGTAAGTTTGGGAATTTTTATTTATTTATTTTGAAAAATAGTCAGTGAAGGAAATAATGTTCTCAATTTTTGACTTAATTTTATTCTTTTATTTAGGTTCATTATGAAATAAATGTTCTGCATGAAAAAAAATCAATGTGAGAAAAATCATACTGCAAAAAATCGTATCATTTAAACAGCTGAAAATTAAATTCCAATCGGACCGCAAAAATAATTATTTGAGTCTAAAGAATTGAATTAGAAAATTTCCTTTTTCTGCAACAAAATTAAAATTGATTTTTTCCCTTTATAATGAGGTCATCGACATTACTGAAAAATTAATAAATGTAGCGGTTAGTGTATTTAATCCTCCCTAATTATTGAAAAAAAAAATTGGAAATGATAAAATTATGTAATAAATATACACACACTATAATGCAGAAAGAAAAAAACATCAGTGTGTTATTTCCTTTTCTGTTCTTTCTACGGAGCGTTAAAAATATACTGTATATTAAAATAAGAATTTTCCTCGGTTTGAAAAGCTTGCATCTAGTATTTTTATTGATGATTATGGTAAAATTTAAAAAAATAATTTTCAAAAAAACTCTTCTAAGAATATTTTTTTTTTATTTATTTACATTTCGCTTGAAGAAGCTTTATTAAAAAAAAAAATTTCGAATAAAAGGAGCTCCTTTGTAACGTTTCTTCCAAAGCCATTATAATATTTTTACTGTTTCTAATTAAGGAAAGTATACGAAAATTTTAATATATGGGATATGTGTACGTTGCTATACATGATAAAAAAAAAACCACGAAAAACTTATTTTATGTGCGAAAAAAAGTATATTTGAACGCATTGTATAAATATTAATCATTCAGGTAAAAGAAAATGTACAAAAAAATTTTTAAGAAAATATTTTAAAATTTTTTCAAAAAATACGATAAGAATTTTTGTAATTAATATGCATTAATACATATGTATTTTAAAGTTGTGTTCTCTAATAGTTATAGTTATTTATTCCAAAGAATTAATTTATCAGTATTACCGTATTTTGGAAAATAATCTGATATTTTTCTTCGCATTGTCTTTTTTAAACCCGCTTTTATAAGTTTCACTTGCATGTAATGGAATCTTTGAACTCGATTTTTACCCACTTTAAAATGTAAGATTAATTCGAAATTTTGCACACTTGTCAAGGACCGATGACAATACAAAAAATTCAAAATTTTATTTCATTGTCCTGATTTATGCGACTTATGGTATAAACCATTTTCAGATTTGGCGATTAACTCCATGTGCCATTTCCAGATTTGGCGACTAATTTCAGATTTAGTGACTAAAAGATTAAGGTGCAACCCTAAAACTGCGAATAGGACTTGTGGTTAATACAAATAAAACAAAAAAAGTGTTCTTTATGTGAGAAAGGGTGGGTTAGCAATTTCTTGCCATAATATAAGTCTAGTTTTTTTGAGAATGGAAAAAAAAAGACTGGTGCATGTGAAAAAAAAATTATGTTCTAAATATTTTTTATTTTTGTAAAGCAATATACGACTAGAAGTGATGGTACGAATGAACATTATAGCAATACGTCTAAAAGGTGATCAATGTATGTTCTAACTGATAATTTTTTTTTTTATTTTGCCAAAGCAATACGTTTGTAAGTGAGGATACGAATTAACATTATAACAATGCGTTTAAAATGTGATAATACGATTGACATTTAATATTTCTTCTTAATACGCTTTTTTAGTAAGACTGTATCTGTAGAGACGGAATCTTTGAAATATAACGATACGGGACTCATCTGAGAGCGGAGAGAATAAATATCCTTCAGACTCGTTAATTAATATCCATTGAAGATCAAGACTATCTCTAGCAGCCACGTTATTCTGGCTCCAAATATCAAATTCAAGGATAAATTCAACAAAGGATAAATGATAGTTTTAAAAACTAAAAAAAAAAACAATCTTTTATTTTAGATTGAACTAAAAAATGAAAAATAAATTATAGTTTATAAAAAACTAAAAACACGATTTTGTAGTGAATCGAACTAAAAATCAAAAAAGTAATTCTTAATTTAAGAATAAAATGATTAACGAGAAAATTAATGTCATTATGGTAAAAGCGTGGGGGTGCTTGGTACTATATTTTTACACTAACTCAGAATTTCGGAATAGAACCAGTAAGAAATTATAACAATTGATATAGAGCACCTCACGCTTTTACCCCAATGACATTGATTTTCTCGTTAACCATTTTATTCTTTTTGAATTATTTTCTTACTTTTTAGTTCGATTCACTATAAAAGCGTGTTTTTTAGTTTTTTTTTTTTTAAAAACTATAATTTATTTTTAATATTTAGTTGTCAATAAATTGTTCGATATCGTCCATTTTGCTATTCATGTCACCATTTGAATATGCTTCTATAAAACTACGCATACTTTACATGATGTTCTTCTCATTTCGGATTATGTGGGGATGGTGGCTGCCTTATTCATTTCATTTTCTTCGTCAGAATCTGCATGAATGATATTTTTTGAGCTCTTAGAACAAACTCCAAAATGTCTTTATCCGGCATAACTCATTACACTGTACACTCATTATCATCATCTATTGCAATGGATTCTTCCGATGATACACAGTAGGAAAGTTCAACAATATAGAAACTTTCTCAAACACCCCTCTTTAATCTCCATGTGCATCTGATGTTTCCCGCACTAAGTTCAGTCGGAGAAGGGAAATCTTTTCGTGTTAAGCGATTTTCGTTTCGTGTTAAGAAAGATATACATAGTAGTTTGTCGGCACCGTTGCATTATTTCGTGTTAACCGATATTTCGTCTTAAACGTATTTCACTGATATATATTCCAAATCACACAATGAAAGTGACTTGTAACAGAAATTACCTTTCAACCAAAATAAAATACAAAGCATTCTAACATTTCTTTCTTTGTTTCCCTTATCGACCTTAAAGTTCCAGATAAATCCCACCATTCATGTTGCCACTTCCAAATTATTAAAAGATAAAGGAGTGTAAATTTAAAATCGCATTTATACCCAACCTTCATTGTCATTTCTCACATTTCAAAAGTCTCACGCGCTTAAAAAAAACTTAACAAACCCGATATTTAATCGAGACGTGTTTTCAATGGAAACTCACCGAGCGTGAATGAATTCAATACGACACATTTCCTGGATCGAAAAAAAAAGAAAAGAAAAACTTCATCTCAAATTCGATTCCGATGGGTGTATCGAATACCTGGGATGATGATGATGCCCCTTAAAAGAAATGTCGCATTGAAAAGAATTAATTGCAACTGTTTATTTCTTTCCTGATAAGGCCTTTTTGAAAGGGGGGATTGGTTTTGTTGTTGGTTTATGACCTCTTACCGTAGTCATTGGTTTCTGGTATCGATTCATTGAATTTAACATGACGTTCGTTTTTATGGTTACCGTTAACAGCTGCTGTGGAAGTTTAATTATTTACTTTATTAATCGCAGAAGTACGTTTCAGATCTGGACTGTAGAAAAGGGTGTTAAAGATTTGTCTTTCCACATGTTTTTTCTTTTAAGGATTGTGTCCTTTTTGTCCTCTTATAAAATGTCTCTGTGTTTCAATTATTTCAGTTCACACTCTGTCCATATATATATATATATATATATATCTTGTTCAAATTTTCAATCCTTAATAAAATACTTTCTATTCATCCACTCAAGTTCAGATACATTTTTTAAAACTTGTAATGGGTGACATTACTGGTGACTTAATACAGTTTTTTCAAATGTTAATTCTCTAATTAAATTAAATTAATGAATAAATAGTAACAAACCGAAATAATAG